AAGAATAAAGATCCGGTGCTTGCCAAATACACTGCTTGACAAAAACCGTATGCCGGTATACGGTGCTCACCGTATACCGGTCATACGGTATAACAACTGCATTATTTGTTTATTGTCATTGAGGTTAATTATCCAATTTTCTAGAATTTTCCTTGTACGAAGGACTGACTCAACCGTTCTTGTTTTTGTAAAGTCCAAGTTTGACGTACGTTATAAATTCAATATGGTCTGATCATCTATTTTCTTTGCACCAATCAGATAAAAATATTTTTTTTCTTCTATTTATCAATATTAACATATCTTATAGTCACTTTAACTTTTACCATGTTAATGTTTTATCACTTGTTCGTTCTGTTATTAGCTAATTCTCTTACCTAGACCTCAACACTTAATTATTAATCTCACACAATTATCGGTCAATTGATTATCTTAGACTTGTATACGGCCTAATCCAACTGTGCGGTTACAACTTACAATTTGTTAGCTTTTCACACAATAAATAAATTCCTTAATTGGGTTAGCTACTTAAATGCATAGATACGTACAAACAGATAATTTGAATGGGTTAGCTTTTCACGATTTTGACTTAGTTTAGTCACATCGTCAAAAAGATAATTTGATTGAGTTGTTTCATTTTTTTAATCGTACTTTATTTTAGTATGCATTTAAATAACTAAAACACCTATCGAAAATATTATTTTTAATCCTTATATGTTTACATTTACTTTCACGCATTAAAATGTGTAAATTTTGAGGATGTTACAGATTTTGTATGGGCATGGGCGCCTGGCATAAGCCATCTTACTTTGGAATGAAAATCAACTGATCGTAAATGAACAAATGTACACTGTATGGCTAACATTTAAATCTAAAAAATTTATCCCTTATGTAGTAGCATCATCGTAAGGAACATAAATCCACATTAGGTTCCACCCATAAATCCCTTATGGCTAACATAAATCTCGCAGTGACTAATCCGAACATCGGTTCCACCCACGAGCTGTCAAACGGGTTAACTCGACCCAACCCGACCCGTGACAGGTTATGCTTTATGTGGGTCGGGTCGGGTCAACCCGTTTAGTGACGGGCCAAAAGTTCTACAACCCTAACCCGACCCACCTAACCCGTGAGTTAAACTGGTTCAGGCCAATGTAAAAAAATATATGACAAAAGATTCTTTAAAAATAATGTGATGGATATTCATACATATATCAACAAAACTCCATATGCGATATATATATAAATATATAATAGCTAAATCCATATAAATCCATGAAATCAAATATGTATGAACTAAGATTAGAACAATACCTTGAGAATTCATTTGCATTAACACTTTAAGAAGACCCGGAATCCAACACGATTGATCGGCCTAACCTTCCAGTGCTATGTACCGTATGAGATGTTGATTGTCCTAGTCCTACCTATTGATGAGATATATATAGGACTAGTGGAATATTGTAACGGTTGGCCCTTAGTATTCTAATAACTCCTTTATTATTATTACAATAATGATATTATTTAGAATAATTTATTAGGCCATTTTCCGTTACAATATCTTTACTGTTATCTCTTAGTTTACACGCACCGGGGGTCATAACCATTGTATCACTTTAGTGTAATATATTTAATTTGACCCGTCACCAAAAGAAATATATTATCCTGGTATCTACACTTTTATTATTTCATGAATAGCCACTGTATTATTTATTTGATGGTAAACACATTTTAATTAATTACATATTAGGCCCCTTTTATTGTTTTCCAACAATCTCCCACTGGGCCTTATATGTAATTCTTAACAAAATGTGTTATCTTTATGAGCTCAAAAATACCATCATATAAAATAACATCCTTAAACAATCTGGTCCATCAGTAATACTAATATAGAACCATTGCAGCATTTTGTTATGTTAAACATAACTATACCACCAATGATCACTAGTATCAATATTACATAATGACATAGATCAATCATGAAATGTGTAGCATGAAAATTACATGAAATGTGGCATGTACATGTAAATTTTCAACTGACCCTTCTTTAATAAACTTTAAACTTTAATATCTTAATTGTTCAGAATACACCAAATGTCAAACTTTATTCTGATCAGAAGATAAATTCATAAAGCAATAGAACATAACTTATAAACTCCCACTAAACTTGAAGTTCCTTAAAATCAATGACTCCCAAGTGAGCAGTATGCTCATGAAAAACTTTTGGCGGGAGACCCTTGGTTAAAGGATCCGCTAGCATGGAGTTTGTACTTATATGTTCAATAGCGACCCTTTTATTCTGAACCCTTTCTTTAACAGCTCGATATTTCACTTCAATGTGTTTTGTCTTGCTCGAGCTCTTGTTGTTGTTAGAGTAAAGCACCGTAGAATTGTTGTCACAAAATATCTTGATAGGCTTTGAAACATCATTTATTATTTTCAGCCCATCAATAAAATTGTGCATCCATATTCCATGGTTTGAAGCTTCAAAACAGGCCAACAACTCTGCCTCCATAGTTGAGGTAGCTATCATATCTGCCTCCATAGCCTGAAGTAGATCTACTAGTGTCTTTGCAGCCGGCAAAGTCAGAGTCGGAGTATCCAACGACCTCCAAATGATCTGATTTTCTATATGTAAGCATATAGTCCCTTGTTCTCTTTAAGTATCTCATAACTCTTTTGGCCGCCACCCAATGAGCCATTCCTGGATTACTGAGATATCTGCCTAGCATCCCAACAATATACGCAATATCCGGACGCGTACAAACTTGGGCATACATAAGACTTCCTACAACAGATGCGTAGGGAATCTTTTTCATTTCTTGAATTTCCAAATTTGTTTTAGGGCACTGATTGAGACTAAACTTGTCTCCTTTAGAGATAGGGGTATCACACGGTCTACAATCTTCCATGCCAAATCTTTTAAGGACCTTATCGACATAGTTCCTTTGTGATAACCTTAAGATTCCTTGTGATCTCTCACGGAGGATTTCAATTCCTAATACAAAGGAGGCTTCACCAAGATCTTTCATTTCAAAATGTTTTGATAGAAATCTCTTGGTTTCATGCAACATGCCTATGTCATTAGTGGCAAGAAGAATGTCATCAACATATAAGACCAGGAAAAATATTTTACTCCCACTGAACTTATGATATACACAATCATCTACATCATTCATCTTAAAACCGAAGGATAAAATGACTTGATGAAATTTGTGATACCATTGACGAGAAGCCTGCTTTAGCCCATCGATGGATTTTGTTAATTTACAAACCATTTGTTTTGGATCTCCAATCACAAAATTTTCTGGTTGCACCATATAAATAGTTTCATCAATGTCACCATTGAGAAACGCCGTCTTAACATCCATCTGATGAAGCTCTAAATTAAAATGTGCAACTAAAGCCATAATGATTCTAAAAGAGTCCTTTGATGAAACCGGAGAAAAGGTCTCTTTATAATCAATTCCTTCTTTTTGAGTATAACCTTTAGCTACAAGACGAGCTTTATATCTCTCCACATTACCCTTTGAATCCCTTTTGGTTTTAAATATCCATTTACAACCAATGGGTTTACAACCTTCGGGTAATGGGACGAGTTCCCAAACTTTATTGTCTTGCATAGATTTATACTCCTCATTCATTGCCACAATCCACTTTTGAGAATTTGAACTTTTCATGGCTTGACGGAAGTTGATCGGATCATCTTCCATAACACCACTTTCTTCCTCATGTTCTTGAATAAACACAAGGACATCGTTCTCTGTATCCATGCTTGACGCATGTTCTTGGAGATATACAACATAATCATCCGGAATTGCGTATCTCCTCTCTCTAGTGGATCGCCGCAATGACACATTTTCTTGTTGCACTTGTTCCAGAGGAAGTTGAGTTTGTTCATTTTGAACAATTTGTTCAGTTTGGAAAGGAGAAGATGAAATAATGCCTTGTTGAGGTTCCTCATTAGTTTCAAAAGAAACATCCGTATGAATTGGTTCAGGTATTGAAATCAATTCTTCCTCAAAGACAACATCCCTAACTTTATTCTTCCCCCCAAACTCAACATCCTCGAAAAATATGGCAGTTCCCGTCTCAAAAATATTTTTATCCTCGGGATTATAAAATTTATATCCCCTAGATCGCTCCGAGTAACCAATAAAGTAACTACTAACTGTTTTGGGTTCCAGTTTCTTTTCATGTGGCCTATATGGCTTTGCCTCAGCTGGACAACTCCAAATATGAAAATGCTTTAAACTAGGCTTTTTACCCGTCCAAAGCTCATAAGGTGTTTTAGTAGTTGCTTTAGTTGGCACTCGATTAAGAATGTAAGCTGCGGTCTTTAATGCCTCACCCCAGAGGGATTCCGGTAAGATAGAATGAGAAATCATACTTCTTACCATTTCTTTAAGGGTTCTGTTACGTCTCTCAGCTACACCATTCATGCTAGGTGAACCCGGCATGGTGTATTGAGGGACAATCCCACATTCCTCTAAAAATTTGGCAAAAGGCCCTGGACGTTGTTCACCTGAGCCGTCATACCTCCCATAGTATTCACCACCACGGTCGGATTTGACTTTCTTTATGCGTTTGTTGAGTTGATTCTCAACTTCCGCTTTGTAAGACTTAAACACGTCCAAGACTTGAGATTTTTCATGTATAAGAAATAAGTATGCATATCTAGAGTAATCATCTATGAATGACACAAAATATTGTTGACCATTCCATGAAGGAGTAGGAAATGGCCCACAAATATCTGTGTGTATTAATTCCAAGACATCTGTAGCTCTATATGCACTTTTTTTCTTATTTTTGGTTTGTTTCCCTTTAATGCACTCAATACAAGTATTGAAATCAGAAAAATCAATGGAATCTAGTGTTCCATCGGACACAAGGCGTTCAACTCTATTTTTAGAGATGTGACCTAGTCGTTTGTGCCATAAAAAACCAGATTGTGCATTATCAACCTTTCGCTTAGTGCCTCGGGTATCAACATTTAAAGCATTATTATATGAAGTTATTGTTTCAAGCATGTAAAGATTGTCATATGACATAAAAGAACCAGTCCCCACAATATTTGAATTTAAAGACAAATTAAACCGGAAGTTTCCAAAGGAACAATGATAACCTAATTTGTCCAAATAAGAAACAGAAACCAAATTCCGCCTAAATGACGGAACAATAAAAGTGTCTTTTAAATCCAAATAGAAACCGGTAGATAATAACAATCTAAAATGCCCAATAGCCTCCACATGCACCGCTTTGCCATCTCCCACATAGACGCATCTTTCAGCATCATTTGGCTTGCGGTGGCTCAGACAACCCTGCATAGAAATACTGATGTTAGATGTTGAACCGGAGTCTAACCACCAAGTATTTCTAGGCACTGAAGCCAAATTGTTTTCAGTACAAACCAAGGCAAGGACCGTACCTTTCTTCACTTTCCAAGCATGATACTTGGTACAATCCTTCTTCATGTGTCCAGACTTCTTACAGAAGAAACATGTTGTTTCACCTTCCTTATGTTTCATCTGTACTGGACCCTTAGCAGCTTCATTCTTAATGAGAGTTTTCTTCCTCTTTTTACCCTTATCCTTAGAGGTACTAGCCAAGTGAGCACTTTCTATCTTATTTTGTTTCATCCTCTCTTCCTCTTGCACGCAATATGAAATGAGCTCATTAAGAGACCACTTCTCTTTTTGGCTGTTATAACTGACCTTAAAAGAATCAAATGCAATAGGAAGAGAGTTCAAGACTATGTGTACGAGAACATCTTCCGATATCTCAATCTTAAGTGTCTTGAGCCTAGAAACAATATAAGACATTTCCATAATATACTCCCTTATATTTCCTTTTCCTGAATACCTTTTGGAAGTAAAGTCTTTTAACAACATGCTTATTTCCGCCTTATCGCTTTTAACAAAACGTTTCTCAATTTCAGAAAGGAAATCCTTGGCATTAGTAACCTCATCGGATACAGCACCCCTAAAAGATTCTGGAATTCCACGCTTTATGATCATGAGACTTAAGCGATTCGAGCGATCCCACTTCTCATAGTACCTTTTTTCATCTTGGGTACTAGCATCCGTAAGAGAAGCGGGTTGCTCTACCCTTAATGCTAAGTCAAGATCCATGCAACCCAAAGTTATTAGAATATTTTCTTTCCATTCCTTAAAGTTAGTACCATTTAGGACAGGGATGGAGTTGAGATTGGCAGATGTGCTCGAAAAATTAACTGTAGAAAGAACAAGGAAAATGAACATATGCTTTAGTGAAATTGTAAAATAATTTTTAACCCATCACAAGATACCAAATGCACCATTAGTATTTCATCTTTGGACAATAATACTAATTGCTAGTGGTACTCTTGTTGTAACAATAAAATATAACAATAATACATATAAAAGAAAAATCCACCTTTGGGTTGACTTTTTCTTTTAAAGTGCAACCTTATAATTGTTATATATTTATTATTACCAAAATGTATATATATAACTTGATAAAATATTAATCTTCCTTTGGGCCGATTAATATTTACTTGAACTATATACAGAATATATACTATGTTTAATATTTTATATGAGCCACTTACACAATAGGATCACTTTGGTGACATATTGTTTCTATATACTCATTTAAATATTAAACTCCTTTTATTTTACAATTTCATCATAGTCCCAAACAATCCTTTCGCAATTCTACTTAAAAGTAGCTTACGGCAGATAAAAAAAACTTGAGAATTCAACCACGGCAATTTACTCCAAATTGAATCAATCATAATTAACACAACTTGATTCACAATATTAATTATTTGATATCATCAATCAAATTTAAAAGACAAAAGTCTATTCAGGTACTCCGTACTCAATTCAATCTTGCACTCAAATAGCATATATGAACGGTTGCCACATTACTGAATAATTCCACTACGTGTAAATAAATGAGTTCATTTAGTGTTCAATAGCACCATACATGCATATTCACCCAACTATTGATATGACGCATCAATATTATTGATAGAGTATATAGACTCGGACCCTGGGTATCACGACTATTGGGCCCAGACAGCGGCCCGGACAGCGGCCCACATATGTTCAGTAGATAGCATTTATTTCCTTGTACACTATATTTATTCATATGTACCCATTAAAATAGATTAGATACTATTTATTAGCCATTTATTGGCCTTTTATTGTAGTTGGGCCTTCTAGGCCCAAGCCTGGAAGCCCAACCCTCTTTTCTCCTATAAATACTCCCTAGGGGAGCCATGTAAAAAAGGAGGTTGGTTGGAAATTCATTATACACATATCACTTTATCTCTCTAGCTCTCCCTTCTCTCTAGGATTAAATAATCCATCATTTGGTGCTTTCATTGAGAGCTAGAATATATCAAGTGAGATCCTCCCCACCAAAACAAAAGACGTGGTATCACATCGGCCCAATTAGGAGCAAAATGAAACCCAAAACACACTTTCAAACGTGGGTGTTCAACAACCAGGAATTTCAAGTATTCCTTCGGCCAGAACTAAAGAAAGCAACAGAAGTATACCAGCTGGTTAATATCCACTTGGCCTTACAGGTGGCAGCTTCCTAAACCACAAGTCAGCCCACCACTTGAATATGACGGCAAGGTCAACTTAAACTTCGAATATTGGATAGCTTCGGCCACAACATCAATCGTCAGAAAAGCTTCGCCTCGGCCAAACGCCTCGTCCTCTGTCTCCAATAAATATTGGGACAGCTTCGGCCATACGCTTCGTCCTCTATCTCCAATATCGGCCTGAGTTGAGTAAAGGGCCCCATATCGTCCAAGCAAACCTTCGTCCAGTCATAGCACCCCTCGTCCTGGGAATAAGCAAGGCCCCTTGGACTAGGCAGGACCTTCGTCCAGCCGAAAAACCGGCGCCCATCGGCCAAAGGAAGCTCTTCGGTCAAACCTGAACGTAAGGGGCCGTCGCCCCTCGTCCGTGAATTAGGCAGTGGTGCTCCACATTGGCCACAATGCCCCATCGGCCGGGCACCTCATCGGTCAGCCTACCGCCAGGCGACTCCCTCTGCCAAGGCCCTGCATCAGCAAGCGCCGCCTCTGCCATTGAGGGGAGCTGAAGGAGGAACATCAGTCAGGCCAGAACACTTCTGCTGGCAACGTCATCAACCTGAAACATCATCGGCCAGTATCGCATCGGCCACAGTAGGGCCACCTCGGCCAGGGAGCTGCACCTCCTTCGTCCAGCGAGCATCAGCCGGCACCGCATCGTCCGCACCGCACCGGTCAAAAAGAGGGACACCGCATCGGCCGCGCACCGCATCGGCCGCGCACCGCATCGGACGCGACAGGGCCACCTCGTCAAGCAACCGCGTCGGCCGGGCCGCATCAGTCAAAACGGGGCCACCTCGTCAAGCAATGCGCGCATCGGCCGCACACATCTGATGTCACCCATCGGCCAAACCTGAACAGAGGACTGAGCAATCCACCTTCGGCCAGAAGCCTCGCATCGGCCAGAATAGGGTCACCTCTGCCAAGCGACCACCTCCGGCCAGATAGGGTCCGAATCGCCTCAGCCAGGTCAGGACCCTCCCCATCGTCGTCTCTGGCCCCTCTCCGGCGCCCAATCGCGGATCCCTCGGCCACCATCTGGTCTTCGCGACGGCCGGAGCAGCAAGGACCTCCTCGTCCACAAGGCTTTCCGGCGACGAAAGGGAACCACCTCGCCATTCTGTTCCACGCTCCACTCCTTCGTATGGACTTCTCCCCTGCGGATGAAATTGGCAAGTAGCGTGATCTGGAACCAGCATCTCAATCAAAAGGGTAGGCTATCATCATATGGGCCGGCTGTTTAATCTGCAGGCCCAGTCTTACATTTCCCTGCTTGAATTCTAAGCAGGGCAGGCTTCGGCCCAAATACAGGTAAATCCCACAAACTCTTCCTCCTATTTTATGCATTAAATATGGAGCAAAATAGTTTTACCACTATTCAAAAAAAAAAAATAGTTTTACTACTATTCCAAAGAGAAAAAGAAAAAATAGTTTTACTATTATTATTATCACCACCGTTGCTAGCAGATTAAAATCCCCAATTGGTGCGGGCCAAAAGCCTTAACCTTCCGAACATCTTTATTTGATGATTCGGATCATATTTGGGTCCATTGACCTACCATGGTCATCTTTATTTGATGACCCGGGCATCTAGAATGAGAGCCATCAACGGCCGCACACGACATTATGCCTAGAAGCGGTACACATCATTCCCCTACACGCTAATTGCGTCATCCAAAAGCCGTTGCAATAAACAACGCACCTAAAGCCGTCGCAATAAACGACGCACCCAAAGCCGTTGCAATAAACAACGCACCTAAAGCCGTCGCAATAAACGACGCACCCAAAGCCGTTGCAATACACAACGCACCTAAGGCCGTTGCGATCCACAACGCGCCTACAAAGCCGTTGCAATAAACAACGCACCTAAATATCGTATCGGCACAAGCGGTGAAACACCCAAATCGGCCGGCGATATGCAGGACGAAGGACCTGTGTGCATGGTCCAACGTCTTCAAACGGAGAAGCATACCGCGTCGTCCGCGCGGAAACCGCAGGACGACAGGCCTGAATTAAGGCTGAGGTTACAAAAACTCCACCCGTCAGTAAAATTTCGCTCAGGACCACAAAGGGCGGCCGTCAAAAGACGATGCCTAGTCCGGTCCCTCGTCGACGATAGACGTGGAAAGGCAAAAAAGATGCCACTGACAAGCCGAGGGCGTATTTACTCCCTCGCACTAATCCACGCGAAAAGCGTAGCGGACAAACTACCGCACATGGACGAAGGGACAGTAACCCTTCGGCCACCCAAAAAAAAAAAAAAAAAAAAAGAGGGAAGCCGACGGACCGCGCACTTGCCGGCCTCGAGCAATAAAAATAAATAAATTCCCCAAACTTATTATTCGTCTCAAGACCGGCTCCCAATGCCGAAGCTCTTGCTCCATCAGCTCATGAACGGCCTCCCCAACACCGTCATACTTTTATATGACGATCGGCCTCATCATCGCCTCGTCATCATTATTCGGATCGGCTCATCATCATCGCCATCCGTTCTTCACGATCGGCCCCTCGGCCACGACGTGATGCTGTATCTCAAGACCGGCCTCCTTAGCGCCAAGTATCTTGAGCTAGCGACCGGGCTCATCATCCCTTCCTGGATGGTGACCGTCGCCTTTATATGACGATCGGCTCATCATCGCCTCGTCATCATTATTCGGATCGGCTCATCATCATCGCCATCCGCACATCACGACCGGCCTCCCGGCCTTGGCGTGATTATTTCTTCTCAAGACCGGCTTCTCATCGCCAAGTGTCTTGAGTTGGCAATCGGGCTCGCCGTCCCTTCCTGGATGGCGTCCGTTGCCTCTACATGACGATCGGCTCATCTTCGCCTCGTCATCATCCGGATCGGCTCATCATCATCGCCGTCCGCTCATCACGACCAGGCCCCCGGCCTCGGCGTGATGCCTTATCTCAAGACCGGCTTCTCATTGCCAAGTGTCTTGAGTTGGCAATCGGGCTCGCCGTCCCTTCCTGGATGGTGACCGTTGCCTCTATATGACGATCGGCTTCATCATCGCCTCGTCATCATTATCCGGATCGGCTCCTCATCGCCGTCCGCTCATCACGACCAGGCCCCCGGCCTCGGCGTGATGCCTTATCTCAAGACCGGCTTCTCATTGCCCAGTGTCTTGAGTTGGCAATCGGGCTCGCCGTCCCTTCCTGGATGGTGACCGTTGCCTCTATATGACGATCGGCTTCATCATCGCCTCGTCATCATTATCCGGATCGGCTCCTCATCGCCGTCCGCTCATCACGACCAGGCCCCCGGCCTCGGCGTGATGCCTTATCTCAAGACCGGCTTCTCATTGCCAAGTGTCTTGAGTTGGCAATCGGGCTCGCCGTCCCTTCCTGGATGGTGACCGTTGCCTCTATATGACGATCGGCTTCATCATCGCCTCGTCATCATTATCCGGATCGGCTCCTCATCGCCGTCCGCTCATCACGACCAGGCCCCCGGCCTCGGCGTGATGCCTTATCTCAAGACCGGCTTCTCATTGCCAAGTGTCTTGAGTTGGCAATCGGGCTCGCCGTCCCTTCCTGGATGGTGACCGTTGCCTCTATATGACGATCGGCTTCATCATCGCCTCGTCATCATTATCCGGATCGGCTCCTCATCGCCGTCCGCTCATCACGACCAGGCCCCCGGCCTCGGCGTGATGCCTTATCTCAAGACCGGCTTCTCATTGCCAAGTGTCTTGAGTTGGCAATCGGGCTCGCCGTCCCTTCCTGGATGGTGACCGTTGCCTCTATATGACGATCGGCTTCATCATCGCCTCGTCATCATTATCCGGATCGGCTCCTCATCGCCATCCGCACATCACGACCGGCCTCCCAGACTTGGCGTGATTATTTCTCCTCAAGACCGACTTCTCATTGCCAAGTGTCTTGAGTTGGCAATCGGGCTCGCCGTCCCTTCCTGGATGGTGACCGTTGCCTCTATATGACGATCGGCTTCATCATCGCCTCGTCATCATTATCCGGATCGGCTCCTCATCGCCATCCGCACATCACGACCGGCCTCCCAGCCTTGGCGTGATTATTTCTCCTCAAGACCGGCTTCTCATTGCCAAGTGTCTTGAGTTGGCAATCGGGCTCGCCGTCCCTTCCTGGATGGCGACCGTTGCCTCTATATGACGATCGGCCTTCACATCGCCTCGTCATCATATGTTGGACCGGCTCATTATCGCCGTCGTCCTTACATCGCGTCCGGCCTCTCGGCTAAGGCGTGATACCCTATCTCAAGACCGGTCTTAGTCATCCCTTCCCGGATGGCGACCGTTGCTTGGATCTTCGGATCGGCTCATCATCATCGCCATCCGCACATCACGATCGGCCCCCCGGCCTCGACGTGATGATCTAGCTCAAGACCGGCTCCCTTAGCGCCAAGTGTCTTGAGCTAGCGACTGGGCTTGCTATTCCCTTCCGGGATAGCAACCGTCGCCTCTACATGACGATCGGCTCATCTCCGCCTCGTCATCATCATTATTCGGATCGGCTCATCATCATCGCCATCCGCACATCACGACCGGCCTCCCAGCCTTGGTGTGATTATTCCTTCTCAAGACCGGCTTCTCATCGCCAAGCGTCTTGAGTTGGCAATCAGGCTCGCCGTCCCTTCCTGGATGGTGACCGTTGCCTCTACATAACGATCGGCCTTATCATTGCCTCGTCATCATATCTCGGACATGCTCCTCAGCATCTTCGTCCTCACATCACGATCGGGCCCTTCGGCCACGACGTAATGCTTTATCTCAAGACCGGCTCCCTCAGCGCCGAGTGTCTTGATCTAGCGATTGGGCTTGCTATTCCCTTCCGGGATAGCAACCGTCGCCTCTACATGGCGATTGGCCTATCATTGCCTCGTCATCATACATTGGACCGGCTTATCATAGTCGTCATCCTCGCATCGCGGCCGGCCTCTCGGCCAAGGCGCGGTACCTTATATCAAGACTGGTCTTAGCCATTCCTTTACTGGGTGGCGACCATTGCATGGATTTTTGGGTTGGCCCCTCAGTTCCGATCATGGCAGGCCCTCGGCCTCGACGTGATCATATTCCCCAAGACCGGTCTCAGTCATTCCTTCATCGGATGGCGACCGTTGCTTGGACGTTTGGCTCAGCCTCATAGTGCTGACGACCTCGCATCACGACCGGCCCCCCGGCCTCGACGTGATGCCCTATCTCAACACCGGCTTTATCAGCGCCAAGTGTGTTGAGCTAGCGATCGGGCTCCCCATCCCTTCCTGGATGGTGACCGTCGCCTCTACATGACGACCGGCTCATCTCTGCCTCGTCATCATTATTCGGATCGGCTACCCATTATCGCCATCCTTATATCACGACCGCCGCCCCGGCCTCGGCGTGATGATCTATCTCAACACCGGCTTCATCAGCGCCGAGTGTGTTGAGCTAGCGATCAGGCTCGCCATCCCTTCCTGGATGGTGACTATCGCCCCTACATGGCGACCGGCTTATCATCGCCTCGTCATTGTTATTTTGGATCGGCTCCTTATCACGGCCGTCCTCACATCACGATCGGCCCCTAGGCCACGATGTGATGTCCTATTTCCGAGACCGGCCTCTCATTGCCGAATGTCTTCGGTTAGCGATCGGGCTCGCCATCCCCTCCTGGATGGCGACCGTCGCCTCTATATGATGATCGGCTCAGCATTGCCTCATCATCGTATCATCAGACAGGCGTCCCACGCCCCGTCCTCATATTCAGACAGGCGTCCAGCGCCTCGTCCTCATATTCAGACAGGCGTCTAACGCCTCGTCCTCATATTCAGACAGGCGTCCAACGCCTCGTCCGCATATATTCAGACAGGCGTCCAACGCCTCGTCCTCACATTCAGACAGGCGTCCAACGCCTCGTCCTCATATTCAGACAGGCGCCCAGCGCCTCATCCTCATATTCAGACAGGCGTCCAACGCCTCGTCCTCATGTTCGGATCTAGCAAACATCTTGCGGTCTCCGGCTCAGAGACTAAAGGATCTCAGATCTCATCTATAGGCCCATCGGCCATATATCTTGCTCTGCCATCTTTATTTGATAACGAGAAGCTCATCTATAGGCCCCTCGGCCATATACCGCTCTGTCATCTTTATTTGATGACGAAGAGCTCATCTACAGGCCCATCGGCCATATGCCGCTCTGTCATCTTTATTTGATGACGAAGAGCTCATCTACAGGCCCATCGCCACATATTATTCTGTCGTCTTTGTTTGATGACGAAGAGCTCATCTACAGGCCCATCGGCCATATATTATTCTGTCATCTTTGTTTGATGATGAAAAGCTCATCTACAGGCCCATCGGCCACATATCGTTCTGTCATCTTTATTTGATGACGAGGAACTCATCTATAGGCCTCTGAGCCATATCTCGCCCCGTCGTCTTTATTTGACGACGTGGAGCTCTTATGCAGGCCCCTCGGCCACACATCGCCCCTTCGTCTTTATTTGACGACGTGGAGCTCTCATATATGCCTCTCGGCCACTACTCCCAGTCATCTTTATTTGATGACGTGGAGCTCACATCGGCCCATCGGCCTCATATTCTGGTCATCTTTATTTGATGACGTGGAGCTCACATCGGCCTATCGGCCTCATATTCTGGTCATCTTTATTTGATGAACCAGACATCATATTATGGACGGTCGCTCGACCCATCCCTTAGTCATCTTTATTTGATGACTAGGACTACTGATCATGACGAGCTACCCACATCTATGGATCGGCCTCAGCCATCCCCTCGGCAGAAGGACACCGCTGCAGCTCCACCTCTAGGCCGAAGGGCTCGCACCTTTTGCTTCGTTCTGGGGGCATCCGATGTACTCTTTTTCCCTCATTAGGATTTTTTCCCACAGGGTTTTTCCTAATGAGGTTTTTAACGAGGCATCTCCCCATTGTGGATCAAAAGGTGTCAACCCTCGGCCCCCTGTTGCAGACATCATCAGACATGCATTACTCTACTCCTCTTCACCTCGTTACACTCGCCTCAAGGAGTGGGGGACTGGGAGAGCGGGGGACTTGGCGCCTTCGCTACCAAAGAAGCAGAAATTCAAAATTTTTGCAAGGATTGCCACTCGCACCGACGACATCATCATATCACATACATATTCAGCTGCCACATCGGCCAGTACATATACATAGCTCCCCGGCCTCAGGACCGGTGGTGATGGTCTCTGGCCTGCGACCTTCGGCTGAGGATTTTCCCACAGGGTTGCCTCAGCCAGGGCTCACCAGTGGGATCGGATCATCAGCTTGGGAATCCGGGCGAGGCGCTTCGACGACGACAGCAGTTTACTCACCGGACGACGACAGATCAGCACACAGTTCTACTCTCTTTTCGCCTCGAGTACTCTCGACTCAGAGAGTGGGGGACTCCTGATAGAGTATATAGACTCGGACCCTGGGTATCACGACTATTGGGCCCAGACAGCGGCCCGGACAGCGGCCCACATATGTTCAGTAGATAGCATTTATTTCCTTGTACACTATATTTATTCATATGTACCCATTAAAATAGATTAGATACTATTTATTAGCCATTTATTGGCCTTTTATTGTAGTTGGGCCTTCTAGGCCCAAGCCTGGAAGCCCAACCCTCTTTTCTCCTATAAATACTCCCTAGGGGAGCCATGTAAAAAAGGAGGTTGGTTGGAAATTCATTATACACATATCACTTTATCTCTCTAGCTCTCCCTTCTCTCTAGGATTAAATAATCCATCAATTATATTATATTATATTTTAATAATGAGGCAAACTTTCATGACAATCAAAATTTAAACTGAATCGCCTATTCATCCATAAACATGGATCGGAAAAAATGAGACATGAACCGATTTGATGCGATCAGAAATTTCATTTGAGAATTTAAATGGTCTAAACGGTTGCCATATCGCCATAAAAATAATTACTTTGCAGCAACTAATCAGAAGCATGTACTCGTATGCCAAAAAACAATTCATGCGAAAAATGAAGCGTTGAATTACTGATTGATTAAAGATTCCGTAAGTATAACGTGCAGCGGAAAGACTTAACGAATCATTATTCAATCAATAATTGCACACACATAACTTCATCAGTCGACTTATTCCAAATAAACATACTTTAAAATAAAGAATGAAGAAACTTTGGATATCATCAGACAAAACCCAGATATCATATTACGAAGTACTCATATCCAGATTCAAAAATTCCATGGATTTAATATGGTAGGCTCTGATACCAATTGATGGATATTCATACATATATCAACAAAACTCCATATGCGATATATATATAAATATATAATAGCTAAATCCATATAAATCCATGAAATCAAATATGTATGAACTAAGATTAGAACAATACCTTGAGAATTCATTTGCATTAACACTTTAAGAAGACCCGGAATCCAACACGATTGATCGGCCTAACCTTCCAGTGCTATGTACCGTATGAGATGTTGATTGTCCTAGTCCTACCTATTGATGGGATATATATAGGACTAGTGGAATATTGTAACGGTTGGCCCTTAGTATTCTAATAACTCCTTTATTATTATTACAATAATGATATTATTTAGAATAATTTATTAGGCCATTTTCCGTTACAATATCTTTACTGTTATCTCTTAGTTTACACGCACCGGGGGTCATAACCGTTGTATCACTTTAGTGTAATATATTTAATTTGACCCGTCACCAAAAGAAATATATTATCCTGGTATCTACACTTTTATTATTTCATGAATAGCCACTGTATTATTTATTTGATGGTAAACACATTTTAATTAATTACATATTAGGCCCCTTTTATTGTTTTCCAACATAATGACCCTAGAGTATATATTGATATTAATAAGTAGTAATAAGGGAAATATAAAGAATCAAAATACTAAGAACTCAATACTTGTTGAGTTTAATTAAAAAATATTAAATACTAGTTATACAAGAATTTGAAAACTATAAGAGGGTATGTAACAAAAATACTCATTGTATAAAGTAAAGATGTAGTTAAACCTTTTGATTGATATTTGTAAATCATGACTAGTAAATGTGAAATATTGTATCAAACTTCACATAAAACATATGTTCAACATTTTATTTGGATATTTATTATAGAAATAATAATTATTTTGCATTTTTTTAAACTTTTTTTAATTGTAATTATAATATTTTGGTTAGGGGTGAACAAAAAAACCGAAAAAACCGAAACCGACCGCCAAACCGACCGAAACCGACCGACCAAAACCGAAACCGACCAAAACCGAAACCGACCAAAACCGAACCGATAAAACCGAAACCGACCGAAATTGACTAATTCATCGGTTATTCGGCTTACGGTTCGTACTTTTGGCTTAAAAAACCGGTCAAATGAAAATAAACCGGCAAAAATGGCTAAAATTGACCAAAATTGTCTCAATTTTTGTGGTCCGATTCTCGGTTTCATCTATTTTTAAAGCCGCTAAAACCGCCCGACTAAAACCGAAACCGATCAAAACCGACCGACTAAAAACCGAAACCGACTAAAACCGAACCGATAAAACCGAAACCGCCAAAACCGAACCGACGAACACCCCTAATTTTGGTAGTAAATAAACAATATTGAAGATAATAAAAGTCAAAACTATATGTTTTTATATTGGCCCGCAAGCCAACCCGCAACCCGTTGGGCCAACCCACGGGTTGGTAGTAATTAGCAGCTGCTGATTACAATGAGGGATATCCTATTTGTAGGAAAGGTAGTAATTCTCTCATGATGGCTTTGTCCGTTACTGACGGGTTGGCCGTCTGTTACTGACGGGTTGACCGTACTTTATGACGATTTCAAATCTGTCATAAATAAAGGCTGGTCAGTTACACTTAATACCTTCCTTAATCACATTAAAGATCCTAATAATGTATAGAAAATATTACAATATTGAAAAATGAGATTCTTGGACGTTCCATTAACTTTTGTGGTCAACTCTCTTAAATACAACGTAAACCGCCAAATTCTTGCTCTAACAATGTATAAATATTTATAAGTAGTAAAAAATATAGTGAAAATTTAAGTTTTGGTCCCTGCTATATAAATTTCTTAACCCGCGGCCCCTGTAACCTCTCGCTCGTGGCTCTACCAGTGAATCTCCAGTTGATCATTAACTCAGAATTCATTTTGGCAACCATGATGTAACTATAGTACATATTCAATGATAATGTCAACTATCTTGATTTAGCTGATATTGAATCATATAACCTCCAATTTGAGAGGAGGTCATTAATATCGTCAAATCACATTACGTAGTACTCCCTCCGTCCCCTTTTAAATGACCCGGAGGAGGGTGGCGCGGGTTTTAAGAAAAGTGGGTTTGTGTGGTTGATATTAATTGATAAAGTAAGAATAAAGTAAGAATGATTTTGAGCCACACAAACTTTACCAAATAAGGTATGAGACATTTAAATAGAGACATCCCAATATGGTAAAACGAGACATTTAAAAGGGGACGGAGGGAGTATTTAATACCATAGTATATGCGATAGTTGACCATTACTTTGGAAATATGATGATGCTTTCTTTTTCTTCCAAAAGTTGTGTTTCTTCTTGATTAATTTCCTCATGAATTTAGGACCGTCGGTAAGCAACCTTTGACATTTTTTTATCATCCTTCATCCTTGAGTGTCATTAGAGAGATCGAACCAGGGTTTTAAATAGCAGCCCACTACCGCTATAGCGGCCGCTATATAGCGGTCGCGGTAGGGGCCGCTACCGCTACGGCCCGCGATTCCGCTGTGAATTCCAAATCACGGGAAAAACCCGCTACGCCGCCCGCTACAGCCCGCTATTGACATTTCCGGTAGTATGTCACGAACGGGTTGATGTGTAAATGTGTCTATGTTGTGTAAATGAACTCTTAATGTTATAAGTGTTCAAACAAATATTCACAATGTTTATATTAACTTCAACACTCATTAAATATATGTTTTGCGCAATTGAAAATATTTCACGCCGCTGCAGTCGCTACAGGCCGCTACCGCTAGCACTACCGCTGCCGCTGCGGCTATTTAAAACCTTGGATCGAACAAACGACCGAAGAGGCGAAGATGAAATGTTGATCTTTTAAAGGAATTCCTGCCAAGATGACGGATCCTGCCGCAGGGGCCTCTACATGAGCTTCGGGTCAGCAAATATGAAATGGCGGAGCTCAATAGAATTTTGTTCATTTTTTTACGTGCAATACTGGACTGCCATTTCACAAATTACTTTGCATAATGAGTAGGAACACCAAGGGCTTTTTATTACCACCCGGCCGGTCAAACAAAACAGGGTGAGAACACTTTTAGGGGCAAAGTCTCAGAAACCACTGCTATTTTTCCTCAAAGAAAATTCATTCATTGAAGCGGATATGTTAGCTATTTGCCTATTTCGATTCGTATTTTCTCAACGTTTGAAGTCCATTTTGGAGATTTTACGAGCAGGAAATTTATCAATTTAATGCTGGAATTACTACCATTGAATTGTTCCAATACGCTAGAATCTTATATAGTGCTTCCGTCCCACTGGATTTTGTCAACTTTTCCCTTTTGTTTGTCCCAAAAAACTTTGTCACTTTCCCTTTAAAGCAATGAATTTGTGGCCCTGTTCATTTCTCTCTCCTCTGCACAAATCTCAACCACACAGTTTTTTCTTATTCTAATTTCTCACCTAACATCAACTTGGCAAAGTTGAATGGGACGGAGATAATATATCCCAAATTTTTAAGTACCTTTGAGACTATTTAGAGGGATTGAGAAATATTTTGAAGTATATATTGACTTAAGATGAAAATTAATGTTTTCATAAGAGATGGCACCACAAGATGTTGATGTGGAGAATGGTTAGGGCTACTACTACTAAGGAATACAATTTGAGTTTGGAGTGACATTTGGATCTCTAATCCCTTTTAAAGAGTAGTAATAGTAGTAGCAATTACTAATCATTCCGATTTTCTAGAAGTATTAACAGGGCCGGCCTTGGGGGCAGTTTACCTAGACAATTGTCTAGGGCCCCCAAATTTTAGGGGCCTCCAAATTTTAAAACAAGCCCATTAATATTAAACTCCTTATTGTATACTTAATTTAAAATGTAAATAAATTTCGCTTCCCAAGTCAATAAGCATGAAAACATGAATCGACGGAGGCTAACCTTGATGGAGCAGACGACTAGCGTAAACTTCAAATATTCCCAATTAGAATCGCAATTAATCGTAATTAAAATCGGCCGGCGGCAGTCCGGCAAGCTTGGGCACTCAAGCACATTGCAGTAGTGGCGCAGAGCACAGAGCAGTAGAGGCCTAGGACTCGGGGTCCTTCAGTCCTTTCTACTTCTATTTAAGCTTGTACGGTACTTATTTTTTCCTTTGTATTTTTTTTTTAGTTTTTACTTGATTATCAGTGATTACTTTATGTACTTCTCTAGTTGTTTCTTTCAACTTGTTTGTCGGCTAGTCACCAGTGAGTATTAAAAATTAATAAATGAATTTCATGTGTAACTGTAATTAAAGAAATCATTTGCTCAATTACTCTATGTAAAATTTAAAAATTAATTTGATTGTACTAATTACTTTTGTGAATGAATAAAATTTGAAATCTTTATATTATTACATAGTTGTTATTGTGATTTGTGAGTTTGATTGAGATATTAGATATTTAAATTTTTTTATATACATTTAGTTTTTATTTATGAATCATTTACATATTTATACATAGAGTATTTTTATGTATGAATTCGTTTGTTTTGTGATGACGGGAAAACAAAAACGTGATTCGGGATATACAAAAAAAAAAGAACAAACTAAGAAAAGACCTAATCATAAAATTGTTTGCACAGACTCTATAGATCTATATGTAAGCACCAAATCATCTCCCTCAAATATTGTTGAAAACAAGGATGCAATCACTACTTTGATTGTAGTGGTGTTCCTATTAATTTGCTCTCTAAAAAAACGAGAATAATAAGTTATTAGAATAATCATGTATTTTTAGTGATATTGAATCGTTTGATTTCGAAGAAATATTCTCTTACATCAATTATATGGTGCATTTTATATGGTGCATTTTGTATGAAATATATATTTTTATATATGCTCAATAAGGCATATTCAAATGAAGTGTATTTGAGTGTCTGGGGCCTCATTCCTTCTCAAGACGGCCCTGAGTATTATAGTTGGTCTGGTATATTGCGTCTCGACTACTCGTGACGACTTACTATCCGGAGGGCTAGGAATCTCTTTTAGTCATTTCGTTTCCAACAAGTAGAGTGATGGGAACCGGATTCCGGGATGAGTTTGTAAATAACAACGACTCATTGGGCCTCGGGCAGAAGTATCCGAAATTACTGCCCATCTTAAAAGAAAGTAAGAGAGTCAGTGATATTGATTTTGGAAAGAGAAGAGTCTATTTGGAAAGAGATATTTTAGCTGTAAAAGTTATTTTTGGAAAATGAGACTTTTATATAAAGGTGTGAGTTATTTAGAATTTATAAATATTAGTTTTAAACATGAAAGTAGTTTTGTGCAAAGGAAATGGATTTTCAAAGATATAGTAATGTATGAAAAACTATTTTGAAAAAATATGTTATTTTACGGGGTTGGGTAGTACTTACTTAGCTCTAAAGTAATTTTTTTTTGTTTTCTACACTTTATTTGTGCAGGTGATGATGCTTATGTAGACTGACGATTGAGTATCCCGAGAGCGACTTTAGAGATGTCTTACTTAAACGTAGACTTTATTAAACATTTTGTTTATACTTCTAGATTAGTTGTATTGTTTTTGAGTTAGCATGTGCATTCGGTTAAGAGATGACTGGATGTGGCGGTAACACCCTTTTCCCATTTAATGTTATTTCCGCTGCAAAACTTTTTCTATTTTGAATGAATAAAGTAATTTTAATATCAATAAAATATTATTTCAAGTATTATTTTGGGAGGAAAAATTGGGTGTTACAGGCACATCCCTGTAGTGTATGTGGAATCCAAAAATGCCTCAAGCAGACTCGCAAGCATAGATGTACTGACAATCATAGTACATATTGATCTCATCAATTTTTTGTTGCTCAGAGTTATCTGCTGCCTGAGAGAAAGCGGCCGTGATTCGATCATCACCTTTATTTATGTAATTGAAAAGATATTTCACCACGCGTGACTGGTCACACCATTCAACATTAATGAGTGCTCCATACTTGAGCAATAAATTATGATTGTGCGGGACTACATTTATTGCTCGCACAATCGTAATTTATTGCTCAAGTATGGGGCACACATTAATGTTGAATGGTGTAACCAGTCACGCGCGGTGAAATATCTTTTCAAGTACATAAATAAAGGTGATGATCTAATCACAGTCACTTTCTCTGAGACAGCAAATAATTCTAAACAGCAGAAAATTGATGAGATCAAAATGTACTATGATTGTCGATACATCTCTACTTTGTGAGGCTGCTTGGAGGATTTTTGGATTCCACATACACTATAGGGATGTGCATGTCACACCCCCATTTTTCATCCCAAAATAATACTTGAAAAAATATTTTATTGATAATAAAATTGCTTTATTCATTCAAAATAGATAAAAATTTTAGCAGTGGAAATAACATTAAATGGGAAAAGAGTGTTACCGCCACTTCCAGTCATCTCTTAACCAAAAACATTACAACTAATGTAAAAGTTTAAAAATAAAATGTTTAATCAAGTCTATGTTTAATCAAGTCATCTCTAAAGCCGCTCTCGGGATACTCAATCGTTAGTCTACATAAGCATCATCACCTTCACCAATAAAGTGCATAAAACAAAACAAAGAAAAGGGGAAACAAAAATTAACTTTAAAACAAAGTACTACCCAATCCCGTAAAATAATACAATTTGTCAAAATAGTTTTTCATACATAACTATATCTTTGAAAATCCATTTCCTTCCCACAAAACTAATTTCATGGTTAAAATAATATTTATAAATTCTTAATAACTCAAACCTTTATATAAAAGCATCATTTTCTAAAAATAACTTTTGCAGCTAAAATATCTCTTTCCAAATAGACTCTATTTCTCTTTGAAAATAATATCAGTAACTCTTCTCTTTCCAAAATCAATATCACTAACTCTCCTACTTTCTTTTAACATGGGCGGTAATTTCGGATACTTCTGCCCGAGGCCCAATGAGTCGTTGAACTATTTACGAACTCATCCCTGAAACGAAACGACTACATTAAGTGTGTACATCACACCCTCTGAGTAGTAAGTCATCACGATTCACGAGTAGTCGGGACGCAGTCTACCAGACCAACTACCCCACTTCTAGAAAATCTGAATGATTAGTGACTTCAAAATATTTCTCAAGCCCTCTAAATAGTCTCAAAGGTATTTAAAAATAATTAATACCCAAAAGTAAATCATGTGTGTTTTCTCAAAATACTATTGATTTAATATCTTCTCCAAATAACACATTCCATAATCCAAAACTCAAAACATAATCACATAGCACATAATAATCATATAATAGGAGGAAAAATAATTTTGGATTGATAGAGAAACTTACCTCAATCTATGCTCCTAATTCTCCTCCTCTATTCTAGTCTCTAAATAATCACATTTTTAAATAAGATAAAATATTTAGTTTGATCATATATTCTATTTTAATTTATTCGATTTCCCACCCTTATATTATCATTCGAATTTTATTAATTATTTATTCGAATTATTAATTAATCACATTTGTTATTCTTACAACTTTATTCTTATTCCATTGTATTATACATTTTAATTCGGCCATCCATTTATATTTCCGCCTAGTTACTATATTCAAGTCTGCCAGTTCCCTTCCTAATTCGAACTTATAAAAGGTATTAACAATGTTTTGGTTTGATATCTTAATCCGTCACTCCTAATTAATCCATTCTAAAACAAAATTCAATTTTAGAGCATCTTCATTCAAATAGACGGATTTTCTAGTACACCTAATTATCATTTCATTTTTACGGATTAAATTCTTAATAATCTCAAAGCTTAAAATTATTCATCAACAATGATATTCATATAGTTAGTTTTTTTTGTGACATGCATTAAATGCATTTTAACTATAATCTACAATAATCCGGATTTTGAATCTTGATACCAGATTTTCTTTTTAAATAATTTTCCTAAATAATCTCTTTCCCTCAAATTTTATCCTTGAAATAATCTAACACATCATCTCATTAATCTTCAAATAATATAACGAATGGTGATGCCCTAAGAGTTGACGGTATTTAATTAACCGCATTCTTCTAACGCATTTATTTATCTTCATTATATCATTATTGCTATAATGTCATTATTTGTGATAATGATAATAATAATAATACTACGTAATTATTATTATTATTATTAATATTATTATTATACTAGTCTAGGTCCATTTTAATACGATAGTACTTAGTATAACAGACCTTCAGCCCAAAAAAATAAAATAGCCTTCGCACACACTACGGTTTCATCTTCTACCTCGAACTAACGCCAGAAAACGAAAGGGAGTTGCTGGCTTACCTTATTGACGACAGATGAACGACACGGCAGTGGCGTCGATGGTCGTCAGCGATGTTCAGCAGTTGACTGGCGGTAGCGGCAGAAGCTCTCCCGTCCTTTGACGTCAAAACCCGGCCCAGTCCGGCGAAACTCCGGCAAATGATTTCTCCCTCCTCCTCCGGCAATCGTTTTCAACGACGTTTCTTATGGGGGTGATTATAGGTCTGGTTTTTTGATATAAAGAAAGGTTGAACTTTTCGTATATATATCTACGTTTATATATCTATGTCGAGCTCAGCTCTGGTGTGGATGAAATAAAAGAAGGTCGAGGCCCTGTATTTATAGAGCTCTCAAAGTATTCTAGGGTTTCCGACTTTCCGGTATAGTTCACGTATTAGAAGTATATTAACATTAGAAAAGTCAAATTTATATTCATTGCCAAAAGGGGTCCTAAATGGTACCTTAACTATTGGTAATGTTGCAGTTTGATACTTAACTCTTAAATGAATCAAAATGGTATCTTAACTATACATAAATGTATCTAATTGATATTTTATTCAAATTTCGACCAAAATATCCTTCATGATGATCAAAATTCCATGTGTAGAGTCACTCTATAGTGATCATATGGACAAAAATAAGGTGAAATAGATTTTATGCATAGAATTCTAGCCGCCACGTGTGATTTTTTGGTCAAAAATTTGAATAAAATCTTAATTCAAAACATTTAGGTAAAGTTAAGGTACCAAAGTGCAACATTACCAATAGTTAAGGTATCATTTATGCATTTGACCCTTGCCAAAAGATATACCTAGTACTAATATATCAATTTCTTTATTTAATTTAATTTTTACTTGTATCATTTTTTAAATCATATGTACAATTATCACTTTTTTTATCATCAAAACAAACCGCTTTATATTAACTAGATTCTCACCCGCGCGATGCGCGGATGAAAATTTTCCAATTTTTTTTAAGTGTATTATAAAAACGCAATAAGAATCCAACAATAAATAAAGTGGTAAATAATATATTAAATGTTTGTAGTTAAAGATATATTGCTTTATATCAAGTAATATATAGTACGGTGTAGCTGGAGTACTTCATAAGTTAATGATGTTTTCATATGTTCTACGGAGTACATTGTTAAGAGAAAAGGATTAAAGTGGTGGCCATATATGACGTGTTATGACACCTACATGTTTCAAAAGCCCCGTGTGTATATGTACTGCCCATCCCACGTAATAGGCTAGAAAATTATACAAATATATCCCGTGTGTATATATACTACGTAGTATCATACATCGTAGATTTAAGATTTCAAGTTACTGTATTTTTCATTTACGTAATAAGAGTACTACATATGAATTAAATCGTTTCATGTAGCCTTGCTTCTAGTCCATTAAAGCATATACAGAGACACAGAGTGTATTACACTTCTATCTTTCCTGCGCTCTGATCTCTTTTTGCCGAAATCATACCCCAACCATCCACTTCCACTCTTGTCCTTTAATTTGTCCAAGTCGATCCTTTTCCGTAGATAACTCTCAGCCAAAATAGTCTGCACTCACATAAATATGATAATATGACATATACACCCACACACAATTTAACACACACACATAACTGTAAATATCATATACTACCTCCGTCCCAAATTGATTTGCAAATTTGACTTTTCTTGGTCAAACAGTTTTATTTTATTCGGTTAATTAGGATGTCGAATCTTAATTATATTCTAATTTAGAATTTATAACTTGGAAGAGATTTTAATGTAGTTTCTGAATATATAAATATTAATTATTAAAAATTAAATTAATTATCGATAGGGAGCATTGACTTTTATTATTGGTTGACAAAAAAATGTTGACTTTGCAAAACAATTTGGGACGGAGGGAGTAGGTGATCTTGTTAAGCAAAGCGACGGCTCAGTGGACATTCCGGAGTATGATGAAATCTATTTACACGTAAAATACCCGTGTAATAACTAATTATAATTACATATTCACAGTTAGGGCTAGTCCAAATATAATTTCACCGTACCTCTCTTCTTCTTTGTGAAGTCTGCAATTCAAGCTTCAGCGTCGCTACCAGTCCGCCAGTCGCCATGTCTCTCATCCCTTGTATGTACGCCGTCAACTGTGTGGCATCGTGTCGTCAGCCCAGCAGCCCGCTTACTCACCCAGGCAGGCTTGCCATATATGAGCTGCAACTTCGTATGTCCTAGTGCGATCAATATCACTGATTAGGGACCACATTCCGCTTCTTTTTGAGCTTTCAGCCATTTGAACAACAGTGGACCTTTTAGCTATAATGACTAAATGCTCTGAATTGTGTTGTGATGAGGTTTGCGTTATGGATACCCTTATTTATAGTAGAATATGGGTTGGTGTGGCTTATCTAAACCGAGTTGGTAGCCCAATAATCCTTCAAAATTTGAAAAACTTGATTAAAGCAACCGAACTGGACTTTTAATTTGGTTTCTATTTTCTGAAAAATTACCAACTACCTGAATTGTACTTTGATTTTGCAAACAAAAATAGGAATGCTGGTCAAATTCAAATAAGCTGGTCATCGAAAGATTCTGTTTGAATTAAATGCTCCTTGGACTTGATGTTGTACTTTGTTAGAGCATCTTATGGGTTCCTATATCGTACACCCGGATGTACAGGTACATCCAGGTATTTTTGAAATTCTTTCTAATTTGTAATGGGAAAAGAAGGCTTCAACTAACGAGACTCATCACCGGCGAAGTAGCTAGACTGCGAAGCCAAATCTCGGAAGACGCTGCCCGGCCGACTTCAATTTACAAACTCTTGCAATTCTGATTTCAATTCACTCTTTTTCTCTGTTTCATATCTTCCTTTATGGCCTGCCGCCCTGTTATTCTCCAGAAGGCTATTGTGCCTTATAGAAATCCAAGTTCCAACCTCCCAGTCCCAGGTATTAGTAATACTTACTCCGTATTAAGCATATAGCTTCACACCTTGACTGTCTTCAATTATTTATGCAATTGGCCGTGAATTGGAACTTGGGGTTTTGGAACTTGGAGTTGGGAGTTCTACGGACTTCAGGAACACTACTCAATGCTATTGTTAAGAATTGGTTGTCTCTTTAATCATTATATTTTTGAAATTCTTTCTAATTTGTAATTGGAAAAGAAGGTTTCAACATCCTGGATCCAAGGAGCAAGAAGCACCAATTCAATATGGCCGGACACGACCGATGTCACTGCAGCCGTTAGAGCTACAAGCACACCAGACTAACCCACATAGATGATCATGGGATTGGGACAAACCACGTTTCCTTCGTCTTCTTCAGTTGGATGAAAATCACATGTCCCCTGGACTAATTTGTTTATCATCGATACTCATTTTGTACGTTATGTATGCTCATTTGGTATCGCTATTATGCTCACTTTAAAATGTTATATCAATGCATATTTCAAATGCACCATATATTACATTAAGTTCGCATAGGAGTTGATTATAATGTGCTTATATTAAACTCAAATGAGTATACGCCTACAAAGAATGAACGTCCACAAATGATTTTTTGAATTTCTAGATACTCATTATGTACGCTTTGATGCTTATTTAGTACTGCTGTTATGCTCATTTTAAAATGGTATATCAATGCATATTTCAAAAGCACCATATTACATTAGATTCACATAATAGTCAATTATAGACATGAGAGTAAAAATCACGATACTCAATCGTACAATTCTAATACTCAATAGTTGAGGTTTGATGCTCACTGAAAATGTCTTGATTCTCAACTAACAAAATTTAAAATTTTCATATTAATGCTCATTTTGTAATTTATGTATGCTTATTTCGTACTGATTGCTCATTAAATATTCTAAGAACTTCAATAAATGAATCTAAGTCATATGCAACTTTTAAATTATGCATGCATATATTTTATAAATGAGCATAATATAAGTACCAATTGAGCAAAGTAACTTACAAAATGAGTATTGCTATGAAAAATCATATTTTTTTAGTTGAACTACAAGACATTTTTATTGAGCACCAAACATTCTCTATTTTGTATTGAAAACACGCAATTGAATATCATGATTTGTGCTCTCATATCTATAATCAACTCCTACATGAATCTAATCTAATTAATATGATACTTTTAAAATATGCATTGACATTTTAAGTTGAGCATAACACCATTATAAAATGAGCATACATTACTTACCAAATGAGCAATGATATGAACATCGTAAGCACTGTACTCATAATTGACTTCTTTTAGTGCACATTCGCTTTATATATTATACTCATTTAAATATACAATAAAACTCATTTTATTGATATGCATTGATAAAACATTTTGAAAATGAGCATAAATGAGAATCAATTGAGCATACGTAACTTAAAAAATGAACATTGATATGAAAATCATAGTGTTTTTTAGTTGAACATCAAGATATTCTCAATGAGCACTAAACATCTTCTATTGAGTATATAAATATACAATTGAGTATCATGGTCTGTGCTATATTATCTATAATCAAATGCTACGTAAATCTTATATAATATGATACTTTTGAAGTATGCATTGATATAAAATTTTAAAATGAGCATAACACTAGTACCAATTGCGCATACATAACTTATCAAATGAGCAATGATATGAAAATCATAAACTTTGTTAGTTCAGGATCAATACATTTTTATTGAACATCAAACCTATTCTATTGAGTATTAGAAGCATGCAATTGAGTATTATGATCTCTACTCCCATTCGAATCTAATATGATACTTTTGAAATATACATTAATATGACATTTTAAAATGAACATAAAGCTAGTATCAGATGAACATACATCACTTACAAATTGAGCATCGAAATATTCAAAATCTTGTTTGAATTCTCTAATATGTTTAAATGTTCATTTGTACACATATATTATAATGACAGATATAGTAATTACGAATATAGTTATTTTGTATTAAAAATAATTTATAGTCTTTCTTTATAGAATTAAAAATATAACAGGGTTCATTTTATAATGTTTACACGCTATTTATTTTACACTATACTCATTTTAGCATAACACAAAACTCATGTTAATTACTCCCTCCGTCCCATTTTATCTGTCTTATTTTCCTTTTTGGGTTGTGCCAAAATAAGTGTCGTCTTTCCCTTTTTGGAAAGAAATATGTGATTCAGAACATTTCACTTTACTATGCTCAAATCTCAACTACAACTTTTACCTTTTCAATCACTTTATTAAAAATTGTGCCTAAATCAAAGGAGACACATAAAATGTGACAAAGTT